AAGTCATAAAACGATAATACAGTATGGAGGTGTCGCAAAATGATGAGCCCCCGTTGGACAGGTATGGAAACCAAAAAGACGCCAACAATTTGTTTGGGACCACGAGTTTGAACAGTCATCATCGCGCAACAACAGCAATGCTCGGATCGGAAATTCCTACTCTGTCAAAGGTGATGGTTTCCCCCTACATCGACAACCAACGAATGTACATGAATGTACTATTGGGCTGATTGTACCTATGTTCATCATATACAGATTCGGCAGCCACTCTCAAGGGGAGCCTACTAGTGGCTATTATTATTGTTAGCAAGTCAGGATCATTATGGCGCGTACTCCTCCTGTGGCTTCGCAAGTGTCGAATCCGGGTTTGAAGTTGGGTATGATCAAAGTTAGCCACCTTCCTTGCAATGCGTCTAATCCCCCAGCAATACTGAAGCCTGCTTAAACAGCAGACCTCGGTTACTATTCAGGTCCTTAGAAGAAAAGAATCTGAACAAAAAGACCCCACTGATGAATAAATAGGGACTGTCAGGGTCAACATAAGGTTACCTTGCTGCTCCACAATTTCTAAATTTTCCTTGCCCACCTCTGCGTTTTGCCAACAAGCCCATGTCAATATTCACCATCTCAGATTCTCGATTGGTGGTTTGGATTGGTGGTTTGAACAATTTGAAAACCTGGTTCTTGTTGAGGTCGAAGAAGAATACCCCCCCTCCTTATTTCACCTCAAAACCTCCAATCCAAGCATGAGTTAGAGCATCACCAAAGGACCGTTTCGCAACGGGCCAAATTCCGACGTCTTAGCTCACGGGTAAAATGATGTCATGGCTCTTCACATCAAGCAGCTGCCACCAGCACCACCCAAACCTAGGGTCTCCAACAATGTCAGGGTAGACTACGGTACCTGGAGTCTCCATGACCATTAAAAAATGGGTCAATGACCAACCATTGTTTTGGGTAATAACCCCATTTTTTAAGGGTCACGGAGACTCCAGATAAATACGAAACGGAATCTGAGAAACTTATTTTCTGCATCTAGATTCAACCCCCCGCGGACTCGGGTGCTACAAAGGCCCCTTTTTCATCGCAAGGCCAACATTGTGTGGTCGCGCGCCATGGCGGTCTTCAACAGCCAGACCCTTGCGCAAGATGCCCAGACGCGCGTGTGACCCATGGAGGAACCCCCAAAATGGGCGGTTTTCCTTTGGTCTCCCATCGAAACAATCCAAAAGGTGCAATCAAAAGACTAACCCAGATGGCGTGCGCAAAAACAACGCGAATTCTGCTTGGAATGCGTTTCCATGGCGATCGTTGCGGCCAGGTCACGATCTGAGAGAACGCCCATTTGCCGTTTTTTGCCAGGGTTTCACAGGAATTATAGTTAGGCCTGCTTAAGGATCTTAAGGGTCAGAAACTGAGTGCTTCAGGTGGGCCGCTGAAATCGAGCAAATCAAATGTCCAGTGTTAGGAGAAGTTCGTTCATTCAGGGACACCAAAGGCTTAAGGTCACACCACCTGTTTCAGAGGTCCTATTTTTCACAACAGACTGCGGCAGTACATGTGTTCGTGCTGTCTTGGACCTGTGTAAATTTAGTGTTTGTTTGTCGTTTGAGGTATTAAAACCAAACAAACAAAGAACAACTGAACAATCAAATGCAGTTTTCAGACAGTCTTTCCATTGGATCAAGCTTGCGCAAGACAGGACAAGGAAAACACAAGAAAACATGAGAAAGCCAAAGAAGCACACTCATCAAAAACATGAAAATAACAAATTAAACACTTACTATTCAATTTTCGGACCCCTGAATTGTTTCCTCATGTCATCATACTTGTTTTTTTCATAAATGTCTACTCAACTTCAACTGAACAAAAAATCCAGCTGCGCTGAGCTCGAACGGCGAGGGCAACCCTACCCGTAGGGTGTAGGGTATACCGCCGATGTGTTTTGTGTCACCCCAAGCGCCTCCTCAGCATCCCCTGCATCACCTGCACGCAGGCCAGCCCAAACACTTGGACCCCAAAACATCCCCGGCATCCTGGCCTCGCGACTGGCTCCTGAGGCCACGTTGCCCAACCTTCAAAAAACACTGCAAATACCGTGCGAATCGCCCCCGGCAGCGGCAGGCATGCCCGCCAACATCCTTTGCATCCTCGCCAGGGTAGGTTTTGGCGGTGGGCAGACATAGCGGGCATGTTTGCAATCAAATGGGCGGAGTTTCTGTGCAAGCGGGACCGGCGCCACTATGCAGAAAACGTCGCACACACACTGTGGTTTTTGACATTTCCCCGGGCTTGTACGGGGCTTAGAGCGGATGGTGTTACGAAGCATTGACCTAGCCGGGGGTCAATCAGTGCAAGGAATAGTCGCCCAAACAAAGACTTCTCAGATTGACGCGTGGCAACTCTGCCCAAAAGAAACAGAGCGGAGATTCGCGCATATGGCAAAGGTTTACTAACCCATGCTAGGCAACTCTAGGCAAAAGCAAAGCTGGGATTTGCGCAGCCAGAAGAACCAAGTTGCACAGCACACTTTGAAAGCAGCCTGCAGATCATGCCATTCGCCTCCACAGCCACGCTCTTGAGCAAGTTGAACGGCGATGTTTTTCTCGCAATGGAAACATATTGGCCCATATTGGAATAAGCTTGTCTCTAAGTGCCCATTTGTCCACACATCAATGGCATGAAAACCAAGAACGCCTCTCGACCCCAGTTGTCAGTTGGGCGTGGAACTCTAGTTTTGACAATTCAAAACATCCACCGTCTTGGCTGCTCGAGGTTCCACTAACCCTGTGTGAACAAGTCGCCCAACAATCGACAACTCAGTGCACACAAACCGGCCTCGGAATCCTCGGGCTTGCGGCGCTGACAATGCCAGCGACGCACAACTGGGCGGAGCACCTCTGACGCCACTGTGGCAGCCAACACCTTGCTACGGTGGATCCACGAGAAAATGGCAGATCATTTGGCAGAGAGCGACCAGTTCGTCTCAGGCAAGACCAATTGCTCCACAAGGCCAAGAATCGAGAAGGCAGGCTTGGCAGATATCGCCAACGGGACATCACGTGGCTGGCGCCAGGGACAACATTGACTGAGCTGCTGTCATTCAGCGCAGCAGAGGCTCCCAGCTTCTCTACCTTTTGCCGGATCTACCGCAGTTTCGGATTGCGGGTGATGCGATTTGCGGATTACGGATTATGGGTTGCATAGATGTTCCATGCTCCAACATGCAGTTTTGACCCCCCAATTTGCAGCACGGATTGAACATTTCCATTTCCATCCACAACACACATTTAGCGGCTTACGTATTGCGTGTAGGCCCCCCGGATTTCGAAAAGGCTAGAACGCAGATTATTCAACAAGTGCTCAACACAAGCAAAGCGATTGCAAACAAACGCAGAGCAAAAGCAGATCAAAATACATCAAAACGTGCACTGCCAGAGTGCCTGCATTTTATTTTGGCCCTGGCGGGGTTTGGGGAGTGTGGCTGCTGAATATGTGAACCGGGCAACAAGCTGCATGAGGCATGCACCGGTTGGCGCATGCCGCGAGCGCACCTTCACGCAGGGGCGCCAGCTGATGTTTGTCTGGAATCGTTTAATCATAGCTCACCTAGAGGAACGAGCCATGAAAGTCCTTTACATGGGGATCCCGCGTTTCCGGTTTTGGAATAGAAGTTGCAGCACAACGAGGCCCAATGCAAAACCCCCTGAAGTTTAAAGGGACGGTTCCAATGCAGCCGCCGCCGTTTCCAGGAGGCCCAGGTTTTGGGGAGGGACTTGGGCATGTGCTCCGCGCGCGATTCGCCTGAGGTTCAGTGGCATTCAGCTGGCCAACAGCGCGTGGGGTGCTTCGCTCAGTATGTGAGGCCTGCCTTCCTGGAAGCTTCAGGAGCTGGGAGCTGCAAGAAAATTCCAAGGGAAAACCACGAAACCCCATGAGAAGTGGAGGGAACTCCATCCAAGGGAACCCCAAGGGAACCCCAAGATCCCACGAGAAGCTTCGTAACTGCAGCACTGCATAGCGGTTGTGCGAGCCTTTTGGTAGAGGTTTCGGGCATCCCTCCTCCGACCATCATCCTCGAAACACCTTCAGCCTGAAGGGAAGTCATGGGAACTCCAACCCCAAGTAGACACAGGGCCACCAACCCCCCATTCCATGAGATGTGTGAGCTGTTTGAGGGTGGACAGGGTTGTTCCCGAAATGCTTCACGAGGTGGATAAACCAATCTGGAAGCTGAGTTTGAACCAGCCTCCTTTGTCTTTACGCTTCTTGGTTCATGCCAACCCCTCAGGGAACAGCCCTGGTGAAAAGGCTCAGAAAATCATTGCGAGGCTTCTCATGGTTGAACGTCAGCGGCGACACCTTCCGCGAATCGGCCGGTGCCTCAATTGAAGGGAGATATGAGGGCTCCCTACCCACCAAAAAGTTTCTCAGAACCCTTCTGAGCCTCCCCTCTGAGCAGGTTCTGAGAAACATTCCTGGGGATGGGCTCAGCGACCTGTTGCGGTTGCGGATTTGTTTGAAATAGGCCATTGAAACAAACACACATGTCTTAGATGCAAGAACACACACACACACACACTCACCTGGAATTACCAAGTAAACAACAGCAGCATTACCAGAAACTAACGCTCGGGATGTTGGGGACTCCAAGTATCCCATCACACACTTCAACAAATGACAAGATTCCGACAGTTCCTTCCGTTACTTGGGAGTAAGCCCCGGGCCCCCTTTTTGGACTCAACACGGGTCTTGGGCTCCCGAGCAGGGGCCACCATTGGGTCCACTCCCCAAATGGCTCATGGGGTCTCATGACGTCTCTATGTTTTTGTTGTTTGTTGATGTTCAATCATCAGTTTTGGTTGGCAGCTTGCAATGAGTCGAATTGTTCAGTGGGATGGTTCAAATTCAAGGGTGTACTTGATGATCGGAACGCCCCCGCATGAGAGACACCCGCCGTTTTGTTGCCGAAGCTTTCCTGCAGGCAGCAGCCGCGGCGAAGACTGTTGCCTTAGATCCTCAAAGCGAGCTGCCCTCAGCGGGGGGGGGGGGGGCGGACTGAAACGCATGACATCATACAAAGTGTAGACGCGCTCTCGGGGGTTCATGGGGCTCCCTTTATTTTCTCAAAAGGTTCCCCAAGTATTGCGAGTGAGCCAACCACAGCCAACCACAAAGTCCAGATAAATGTGATATGTTCTAGGGTGCCGGTGTTTCCCTTGCAATACATATTTGGCATTTGTAGCACATGAGTTTGCATACACTGGTCTCTTTCTTTCGGACTCAAGCGAGTGCCGTGATTGAGGTGGGCGCTCTGATTGATGCCGGCATCAAGAGCGAAGTGCCTCGGCCAACCACGTGCTCCACCAATCCATTCGCGACGGCTTGCTTGCTTGACTTGCTTGCTTGCTTGCTGGCTTGTTTTGTTTTGTTTGCTTGTTTTGTTTGCTTGTTTTGTATGCTTGTTTGCTTGCTTGCTTGCTTGCGTGCTTGCTTGCTTGCTTCCTTCCTTCCTTCCTTCCTTCCTTCCTTCCTTCCTTGGTTCTTCCTTAGTTCTTCCTTGCTTGATTGCTTGTTTTGCTTGCTTTTTTTTGGTTTGCTTGTTTGCTTGTTTGCTTGTTTGTTTGCTTGCTTGCTTGCTTGCTTGCTTGCTTGCTTGCTTCTTTTGTTCTTTGTTTGGTTGTTGTTGGTCCTTTTTTCTGGACACGGCCGGAGAGCTGCATTGGCCTTTTGATCCCCTCTTTGGGGAGAACATGGGTTATTGGAGGGTACCCTTTTGAATCTTCAAAGGGAAACCCGAAGGCTAGTCCTCCCATGTTGGCACATACCCCAACTTCAAGACCCCCTCAAAGAAATTGATTGCACTTTCCGAGGTCCTTGTATTGTCCCAAAAAAGGGCGTGACAAGGGCCTGCCCTCGGTGAGTTTGCGAGACACCATTTGATGACTGCTGGAGGCATTGGAGAATCAGATGTTGGAGATCCTGGGACATTTGTTGGAGGCGCGCAGTCTGGCTCCAGCTGTTTGGTGGTCCTTCTTAGTCTACCTTGCTGGCGGAACAACACACATGGGTCGAAAAATAAACCCCGCGCGATTTCTTTATGTAAGGGCCCGTCCCTTATTTTTTTCTTTTGCAGACCCGAAACACTGTAAACCGATGCTGAGGGAGAAACACGATACCTGTAGACACAAAGACACACACACACACACACACATCAGGCCCAAGTTGTTGTCGCAACCCCCAAGATTTGTGGAGTTAGACATTTGCAGCGCCCAAACCTTTGCCCAACCGATAGCCAACTCATTAGCCGTCGCGCCGAATCCAGCCAGCTGCCCTGAAGCTGCACTGCATTTGTGCTGAACAAGTGCAACTTTCGAGCCAGAGTTGCCCACTGTGCTTTTTCAGCCCACATGTTCCACTCCCTTGTCGAATGGAGCTCGGACTGATGGCCTAAACCAATGATCAAATCTTCATGACTAAACTTAGTCGAGGCTACAGTATCAGAATATGTTTGGCTTCCCTTCCCCCACAGAGGCGATGGTTTCTTTTTGGAGGTATTGGGCAAATCAAGTAATTTTGTCCGGGCCTTGATGACAGACAATGTTGGCGCGTATTTCCATGTATATGCCTATTTCGCAAAACCTACACACATCTATTCATATCTACCCATGTCCAGGTCATATTTGTATCATCCCCCTTTGGAATCCCCTTCAGAATAGACGGGGGGTTCACGCCTCAGGTTGGCATGCATGTTGTAGCAAGCTCATTTTGTAGTAGGCTATATATTCTTGCTGGTTCTCAGCAGGGAATGCGGCAATGAACCCTACAAACCATCCCTTGTGGTTTCCTTTCAGGGAATCCCCTTTCGGCTCATTCCCTCATTCCCTCATTCCCTACCTACTGCACCAGCAAGTACTTTGTTTGGCCCAAAGTCGCACTGGGGGCCCACTCTGGGGGCCTTTAGAGGTTACAAAGCAACGACTTTACCAACTATTTTTAATGAACATACTGAATCTACTTAAGATTCTTCAATATTTTTGAGGTATGTATGGGTTTCGAGGTCCCCCGAGGTCCCCCGTTGTCCCCCCCCCCTCGCCGGCGCGTCGCGTCGCAGGTGCTGCCTGGCACCAGCGAGCAATGGGACTCCGCTAGCCCCGGCCTGTGGAAGCCCCAGGAATTCAAAATCCCGGTCTGTCTTCTGTTGAGGGTACTTACCCATTGTTTGATGGTTGTGAAGGAAACCAAAAGGAACACCATCATTCATGATTTTGCGTCGTTTGTTTGTTTTTGTGTTTTTGTTTTTGTTTTTTTGGGGGGGGAGTTGCCTCTTTGTTGTTTGATGGTTTTAAAGGAAACCCAAAGGAAAACCCTCCAATTTTGGGTGGGGGGTTGTCCCCTAAAAAGGACACCCATATGTCCCGTTTCACCCAGTCTTTCCAGCACCAGTTGCATGAGTTTTACGGCCTGGAACTTCTACCGCGGCGTCTACGCTGCAAGCTCCCGTTCCTCCGTTACTTTGGATGCAACCTGCAACGTGTCGGATTCGGCTCCAGACTTCTCATGCTTCGGAACCTTGAAGCAATCAGCGGAATTGCGGATGGCCTTGATAAAGGCACAATTCATGTCCACCTGGGATTTGTAAAAAGGGGTCCCCCCCCCCCAGAAATGAAAGGGGGCCCCCCATTTGTCTTTATTCCGCGTGCATTTACTAATCCTATGTTTGCATTAGTTCATTGCACGTCACAAGCATGCCACCTCTTATTCCAAAGAGAAATCACTTGATGGATGACCTGTCGGCGGATGAGGTATAGGCACCAGCAGCGTGCTTACAAGCGTTGAGGGCACTTCGTGCCCGGGGCGTGAATTCCGCCCCGTTTTTCTTTCTAGGGGCCCCGTCAAGTCGGCTAGGGCGTTTCAGCGGACATGGACCGAAGACCGCAGGCCACTTTAGATGAGTTTCCTCCCGGTGACTTTAGTGATTTGATCCCTCCCCACAAGGCAAAAGGCATGCTTTCTTGGCCAGTGAGTGGACTTTTGTTTCTTTTTGGGCTGGGCTACTTTAGTGGTAAGCGAAAAGTTCAGACCGTTGTGCGCCAATCCACGCAGGAAGTGAGCTTAAGAAGGGAGATGGATGGTTGAAGCCTGAAAAACGACATGGACCCGACTAGCCCCAACTGCTGGGCCAAGCGGCGTGTTTCGTCATTCCTATTTGCCGGCCAAAGAAGCTCACCTGCTTGCTCCCACTTAGCGGATGCTTACAGGTTCTCACGAGTTCTCAGGTTCAGCTCGAACCTTTGCAGTGTGGGGGGTCCCTGGGGGTTTTTGCTCTATGGTCCGAGGTTCATGGACTCGATTCCGGCAGACACGCTGGGAGTGCTTGGAACCTCCGGCTTGCCGCGGTCTCAGAAGCGAGTGGTCGGAATTTGCGCAAGGCCGCTCGTTGAACGGGGGCCCCTACAAAACAAAATATCACCTTTTCGGCCCATAGGAATTTCTCCCGGGGTGAAGCTAGGAGAAATTTCGGGAACCCAAGAACTGGCGGGGAAGCATCCTTTTTGGTGGCCCCCGCGTGGGAATCGGACTGCAGCCTAAACACCTGGTAGTGGATGAATTAGGTCCCAAACCAAGTAGATTGGAGTTGGAAACAACAATACAACGGGGATGCGCAATCAGGAACTTGAACCCCCAATGCTCAAAGCCCTTCAACTTGAGCACGTTCGAGAGTCTTAGCCTACGGGGCGTGGCTTTGGGAGCCTTCGACTTTTTGCCCCGCAGGGCTACTCCGAAGCTCCAACCGAAGGCTTTGCACCTTGACTTTCAGGGACCAACTGTCGGCCCTTGTGCCAGTGCAACCTTGACACGAGTGCATTTACAGGCCCAAACCGCTTGAGCCTTTTTTTTGGCCAGTCAACTCGGCAGGTCAGATAAAGTAGACAAAGGGCAGTACTATCAGTACATGTCTCACAACTTCCTCGGCCCAAGGCTGCGCGCGTGGTCTGTGAAAGAGGAGAAGGACATCCAACACCCTGCCGAAGAGGAGAGGTGACTGGGTCTGCCTTTTTCGCCCAGTGCCATGGTTACATGTTCACCCAGTTTCCCGATTTTTGCAGGATTCTGGTGGGGCGTACTTTCTCATGTGCACCTCTCCAGGTTATTTTGCAGGATTTTTGTGGGGCGTAGTTACACGTGTAACCCCTGTTTGTTTTGACCAAAGACCCTTCTGCTTACGGTCACGTCGGTGTTTTTTCTTTCGGGCTGGACGTCGGAGCGCAGGCCGCGGCCCGGCATTTCCAGAGGCGCGGGCAGTACCGGCCATACCCAGAACGACTTGTTGGTTGATACCTGTCTTTGTTGTCCAGTGGGTTGCTTCCGTTTCCCTTTTTTGGGGTGGGGGTTCCCCGTTAAACTCAACCAACCACAAAGAAGGGCGGGCTTTGTTGCCCATGGCCACTGGGCATCTGAGCTGTTGGTTTTCAGCACTGGGGATAATCCGTTCCCCCTAATGCTAAACGTCCCCCCCCTAATACTCAACGGGTCCCCCGAAAACCGGTTTTAGTATTAGGGGGTCCCCGGTTCGTTTTCGGAAAGCCTTGGGAGACAAATAATGAGTCGAGTGTTGTATTTTTTGTGTGGAGAGAGAAAGAGAGAGAGGGAAAAAAGGGGTCCCCTAATTGGGGTGGATTTGGGTACGGGCAGGATAATTCCTACTTTAGAATTGGTTTAGTATTGGCTATTCTAAAAGTAGTATTCCCGGATTTGGGATTCTCCAAAACCGGTTTTAGTATTAGGGGACTGTCTAGCATTAGGAAGAAGGGATTATAAGACAAATCCTGCAGTAAAAGTCTTGTTTGTTCAAGGGATCAACAAACGACAGAGAACTATCCAAGACATCGTCCAAAACTTGGGGCGCAGAACGGTGAGACGTCGCGTGCCGAAACTACGGAGGGAGGGTCCAAAGTTCAGATCCTGAGTTCCTTGACTTTATGTTTTTTGGGGAAGACAATTTTAGTGGTAGCCGGAAGTTCAGACTTGCGTTGGCCTATCCACTCGTGAGGATTAGGGGCACCTGTCAACATGTCAAATGATTGTTTGCCTTTGAAAAACAGGACCACCTTTTTTTGCAGGGTGGGGGTGCCCTCTATGTTAAGACCCCCATGCGGGCATGGTGGTTTGAATGAGGGGATTAGTCCCGCTTGTGTGATGCCAGGAAACCTGGTGTAAGTGAAGGATTAGTCATTTTTGGGAGGCGTTGCAGTGCGTGCGAGTGTTTGGGCGTAACTGGTGCATGTGAGCGCACTGACTTCCCGAACTTTCGTTAGATCGCAGGAAACAGACCACAGTGAAGCTCTTTTTGTTGGGGGCTCAATTGGACTCGCCCCTCTTGTGTCGAACTTCTTTGCAGGCCTGAGGACATGTACGACTGGCCTTGGGCATTCCTGGAGTGGGAGGCCTGTGAGAAAGACCGCGCTATCGCACCCTTTTGTTCAGTGGGTTCCCCACAAACCTCGCGGTTTCAGAACCCAAACAGGAAATATAGGATATAGAACAAACAGCATATCTCAGCAGCTAAGCCCTCCAACCCCAAAAAAGGGTTCCAACCCTTGTTCTTCATTGCTTACTGGGTTTATTTATTGATCCATGACCAATCGATCAAAACTGGTGGCTTGGACAGCAGGGTCCTACTTGTTTTGTCCCTCTCGGCACGTTGGATGGGCGGATCCAAATCGTGCCTAGTCGGGATTCCCTTTCTTTGGAGGAGTTCAGGGGCACAGGAGAGACCAACCGCTCGGACTTGTGGGCAAAGGGATATATTTTGTTTGGGATGCAGTGAGGTTCGTAGTTCTCTGGCAAAATGTACCAAGGCTCGTACGCGTCTTCTCTTCAGAAAATGGCCCACCACATGCGGATAATGTATGGTTTCTGAATGTATGAACAGAAGGATGGGTGAAGAGAATGGGGAATCATTCCGAGTTCAAGGGCTTGGAGATTCAAAGGAGACGATTCTGACGTTGCTGGCACGGAAGCGTGATTGTGTGTTCATACGGCAACCCAAGCCAAAGCGGGTTGTTTCCTTGGTGTTCCTTGAATAGCACCCAATAAGGCGTCCGAAGTCCATGTTAAGAAGGACCCCCCAGCGGTCGTCCATTTTAAGCAGCCCAACCGCAAAGCTTGGAGCAAAGAGAAGACTTAGCCGCCAGGGTTGGCCAGAGCCCGTTTTTTTTTGTGGCGTTCAAACAGTTTGGTGTCATTGAACCGGAGGTATCGACCATGGTGGCAATATACTCACTGTGACCTCGAACTGCGAACGCAAAAAAAGGGGACCAGGTGAGTTTCAACCGGAAGTGCACGAGCCCAAGGTCCATGAATTGCGACCTGTTCTATGGGATCCTTTGCATGTACTCCTGAGAGTGCTGGAGTTGTCACCAGGAACTCCCCGGGCCCGGCAAAGTCGGTTTATTCGTCAGGCGTCAACCTTATCAGAGTGGCTACAATCTCAAAGTCCTTCATTTCGTGTTCTACCCTTTCTTAACAGTTTCCACCCTGTGGTTTTCTATCATTGTCAGAACTTGAGTTCTACCCTTTGTTGGGGTCTCCGCCAAAGCTCTTTCACTTTTTTAAGTAGCTGACAGAATATATTGATTGGTTCCCGTCATGCTTATAGTTGGGAAATGCACTTTTTGGATCTCCAGTGTTTCAAGCCACGGGCCAATTTCGGCATGAAAAGGGGTGCCAAAAAGGGGTGGCAGACCAAACCTCTACCTCCACCTGACCCCCCCCCCTCCCCTCGGTCGAATGGGAGCTAGGCGGATGGAGCTCGAGGTGCCCAGGTGCTCAAGCCGGGGATCTCACGAGTGAAGGGTTTTGCCCCCAAGAGCCCCTTCAGAAGTTGCCGTTCTCTTGTAAATTTGGGTGTTTTTCTCGGTTTTGCGGTTATTTGTTTTGGGGGGAGGGGATGCTTTGCTGCACAAATCGATGAAAAAGCTCACAGATGAGTAGGTGAAACAAGCGATTCCGAGCGCCTCAATCAAGATCCCTTACTTGGGGAAAATTCCTGAGTTCCTGTTTGGACAGGTAGAAGGCAGTCGTCTATGGCTTTGCAAGCTGGTGAGCGATCGAAAGGACGGCCCCTTTTTGGACTCTGGTGTCACCTTGTGCCTCCCCTTCAAGGGCCCCCGGTGTAGTTTGGGTATGAGTTTGACAGGTCTCTCTCGGATTGTTCGTATCAAAGGATTCGGTGGAGTCCTTTCCCCTTTTGGAGTTGGATCTTGAAAAAATGTTTTCCGATTCCACTCGCAATACCTTGCAAGAGAATCATGTTGAGGTCCCGGCCGGCATTGTTGGCTGTGTGTCTTTTTGATCGTACGGCTTTCAGGTTGGTTTGAAGGGAAAGCACGAGGAACACCACAATTTGTTGGATCCCTCTATGACAAAAACACAAACCCGGGAACCATGCAGCCTTACTGGGGGGTGGAGTTCACTGCCCGGTGCTCTTTCGCAGCTGGCTCTCTCCGCAGCGATCGGTTAGCTTTGCCATGGCGCCACCAGCGAGGAGGCGGGAGTCTGAGGCCTTCCCCTTCCTAGGGATCTACGCAAATTGCTGAGGAGCCATTACAACCCGCGGAAAGGAGACGTACGACTATGGTAAGTGGGTTAACAAAACAAGTGTCACTAACTATGTGCCAAGTGCCCTGCCTTCTGCAAGTAGTAGTTCGCGGCTGTCCTTCTTTTGAGGGTGCCCTTTTGGGGTTGGTTTTGACCAATGAGAACTCCCTCTCATTTTGAGAGTTCCCCTGTTTGGAGAAAGAATCTTGTGGATTCGGGAAAATATAGCCCGCAAGCGAAGGTTTGCCTATAAAGAGAGATTGGGACACACCTCATTAATCAGCCGTGGGTTTATTGATCCTGCCTTCCCATTGCCCACGGATGATCAAGGTTAGTGACCTGTTCGCAGGTATGTACTTGGGCTTCACAGGGCACCCTGTTAGTTCTGTGCGTTTGGTTTTGGGTAGCCCCGTTTCTTGAACCAGGGATTGATTGTGACTCAAGTTGTCACTTGTTTTTTCTTTGTCTTTATTTGTTCGGATGGTCAAACAAGCACAGGGAATCCCACCAAAAGGTATCGCAAAAGGGGGCAGTCTCGAAATGCGAAGCCCTCCAGAATTTCAGGCTTCCGTTTGGTCTTTGTTTGGAAGTAGTAGCAACATCCACGGCAACTCTTCGTCCAACCAACCCCCTCCTCCCATTTCGCGGGTTTTGTTCATGTTTCCATCCCTGCCTGGCCCAGCAAGGCACCCGCAGCAAGGTTTGCTTCCGCCACCTTCTCCCGGTGAATGAACAGCAACTAGGACCCGTTTTTGGTGGGAGGGTTCCCCTACTAAAATAGACTACAGAAAAAGGGGTACCCTTACTCTAACCTCTCTACTGGAGGACCTAGGCAAATGATGATTGATTGTGGACGGTTGAGCGTGGAATCCCACTGCTGGTGGCCGCCTACCAAGGCGCCAAGGCCCGACAGTCACCCAACCCACAAGCAAGTTCAGGAATCTGTGCCCCTTTTCCAAGCAGAAAACAGTCCGCCCTGCTTCTTGTTAGGATAAGTTTGGCGATCCAGTTTATATTTGATGAGGTCCATGCAGCACCTGAGCAGCTGTGAAAAAGGTATTGATAGAACTCAAGACGAGTTTCCCACAACAACCAGGGGGCCACCCAATTGTCCTATGTCCATTGAGTGGCAAGAAATCTGCCGTTGCTCATACGAATGCGAGGCGCCTGCTAACAGCGGGGCTCTGAGTGCGAGAGGTGATTCTTGAAGCTATGAAGGAGAGAGCGCCTCAAGTGCCTTTTGAGCCTCAGTCAAAGCCAGGGTAGGTGAAGGTTGGTGCAAGTGTGTCGCCCTTTAACTCATGGTTTTGAGTGGACTCCAAATATACTTGGTTTTATCTCCATACTTTGTCTCGCTTCTATACTCGGAAAATTCAGTTTAGACGTTTGACCATGCACTTCGCTTGGGGAGGTGGTGGTGTCAGCCTTATTGCTGGCAAGGCAGGGCACAGCACTCGCAAATGGCTTGAGCTTGTGTATTTTTTTTCTGGGCCTCTTTGAAGTTATACCATGTCACGTCATGTTTTTTTGTATGAGAACCATATTCTGTGCTATGATATGGTTGGTTAGGCTATCATGTTGCCCACCCCAACCCCAGATGATGCAGGGGATGCCAGCTTTCTTGGCCCCAGCCGGGCCCCAACCCAGAAGGCTGACATGGGGTCGCGCGCGCGCGCGCCAGAGGCTCCAGAAAAAGCAGCCCAAAAAGAGCAGCCCGCAAGCCAGCCCGGAAACGCAAATGCAACAAAACACCGTAACTAGCAGCGTTTTGTGGCTGGGGTCGCGCGCGCGCGCGCGCCAGAAGGCCCGAAAACAAACGGGAAAAAAGCAAGGACCGCGCAGCACGCGAGCCAGCCACAGCAACAGCAAAACGGACAGAACAACAACAAACCGCTCAGCGCAGCAGTTTTTGACGGTATTTACAGCGTTTTGTAGAGCGAGGGCCCAGCATCGCCGGCATGCCCGGCAGCGCTTGGCGCCAAAATGCACGAAAATGAGCCTCGCTTATGTCCCTCCGATACCTTGTAAAAAACAGTGCTTCATGGGTTGAGAGGCTTTTTGGAAGGAAGTCTTGATGATGCAGACCAAGCCCCGCTGAAGCATCACCCAGGCCCAACCCCAGACCCTGATGATGTCAGCCACATGCCCTAAACCCTGCGAGGGTTTCCTAGAGGCGAGCAAAACCGCAAGCCCGAGCAGTTTTCAGCCCCTTGTTTTACATCGCCAACATGCATAGCATCATCCGCATCACCCAGGATGATGCTGGCAATGCTGGGGGTGTTGTCCAGAATTATGCGTCACCCAAAAACGCTGGACGCCGCGGGGAGATGCTACAAAAATCGCCTAAACCAACTGCGCATGGTCGGCGGCATGGGGCGCGCGGCCTTATACCTGAAGGTAAGCCCTGCGCAGGCCGATCACGTCCGGTGGCCGGATTAACCAGGCTCCCGCCTGCTGCCGCCGACCCTCGGCGCATTAAGGGAAAAGTCACAAGGACCGGTCCTGAAACACGTCCGCAAACCCAGGGACCACTTACTTATAAGATCCTCTACGACCACAAACAAGGGTTAACGGAAAAGTCAGAAATATGGCGGCTAGTCCGTTAACTACCGCTTGGGCCGGCTTGCGCCCAAGTCACTTCGAGTCGGCCCACGCCAGTCCCCTCTGCAGGAGGCTGGGACGGGAGGCAGAGGGTCGGCGGATTTGCTTTAAGGCACTTGTGTGGCAAGCTGAAAGCATGTGCGTGCTTTGCTTGGTTTGGTATCCTTTTGAGGTTTAAAGGGAGGCCAAAAGGAGAACCACTCATTTGTGGGGCCACGCCCCTATTGCGACCCATACCCTCAACACAACGACAAATGCAGGCAAAGGTCCAGGTCCAAGCCGAGCATTTGTCGCCAGGTGGGTCTGCTCCTTTGTGACGGGGCCAATCTCAGGCAGCGATGCAAGTCTGAGCGCGCAACCAAATCTGCTTTGCTGTGCCGACATCGACCTTTTTGATAACCTTGGTAGAACCAAGAGTGTCAACGTGTGTGAAGCGTTGCTAAGGTGAACAGACCTTTAATTTGTTGCCCCCTAACAATACATGTCCCTGAAATAGTAGAGTTGTTGTTCCAAACTCCGGGAGCCCCAACACCAAATTAGTATAGCCAAATTTGATCTCAATACTAAACTCGTGATTGCTCCCACTGACCTCTCTCCCGGTCTTATTGGGCGGAGGCTCCCTCCGCCCCTGCTAGTCACCAAGCAGCCCTTTCTGGAAAAACAGCTTCTTGCTGCTCCGTTTCAAACACTTTACCTTAAAAAACATGAGTTGACTTTTTGGGACTCAAGGGACTAGTAATTTAAAGTGAAAACCAATGAATTGGGCACGCCAAATCTGGAACTGGGGACCCCCTACTAATACCAATTTTAGGTTAGGGGGACGCGTTAGATGATTTGGGGCAACGGATTAGTTGGTTCAAGTTCCTGGTTTGCTGCCGGCAACCAGGGCTTGTCTCAACCTGGTCGAAGTATGCATCTGTCCGTTGCCAGACTCAACGAGGCTCTTTGCCCTTCAAGGGTTCCCGCACTATGCGTTTCAACCCACAACAAGCGGCAACTTGTCGCTAGGGGTTTGAATGTGGCCACGACGCGCTCAGGTCTCGTAAGCAACACCAAGCAGCCACAGGCCGAGGGAGAGGGGTTGGTTCCGTTTCCCCTCAACTTTTTCTCTGTGACCAAATCGCCCCGAAGACCTTTTGGAAAGAAATCAGCTTTTCCGTCAAAACCTACAAAAGGTTAGATGGTTGGACCTTATGCTTAGGGAAGAGCAACCCAAGGATAGAGGCAGCATGCGGGGGAATTGGCCAGGGTTGATTCGGAGAGGGAAGGAGAAGCCCGGACACGTCACAACCCCACATGGATTAGAGCTGTCACCCCACCAGCAGCCTCACCTTCTGGACGGCGGAAACCCGCATGCAATGTGGCCGTGGGTCAAAACCAATGGTACCATTTTGGGAGTTTTCGGTGCACCACCCATTTTAGAACCTATTTTAGTTGGAATTGGGATGTTCACTGGGGGCGAACCGGGCTTTTGACCCATGGCCATGTGCTGAAACAGCCAGCTCCCAGGGTTTCTGTTCGAGAGCAAGCAGGATGAACTTGTCGAAGCAATGGTTTTTCAACATGAAGCCAACGCTCGCACAGATCGCTGCCACAGCAGCTGCCAGCACGTTGCTGACACCCCTGGCAGCGGTGGCTACCAATGCGCGGGTCCTGCTCGTGTTCTCATTTCCAATGCGCGGGTCCTTCTCTGGTCCTCTGAAGCGCGATATCTTAGATATATATATATATACATAGGGAACCCTGTGTCATGGGGCTGCACAGGGGGCTGCACGGAATCAAGTGGCTCATGTTGAAAGACTATTGCTACTTTCATCACACTGCGTCTTACTTTAGGGGACCCCCAAAGTAGTGGGTTTCCTTTTTATTTTCCTGAAAAACCAAAAACACATATATGTATATATATATGTATATAAGCAGTCAAGGAGTGTGTGTGTGTGTGTGTGCCTGCGACCCTGCAAAAAACAAAGTACCCTGTGAGTCCAAACCTTTAAAAAATGACAAAACATGTTAGAATGGCATTCCGTGTTGAATTGGTTCTGTTTGCCAGGGTCCCTCACAATCGGGTGGGGTAAGACTCAATCCAAGAGAAGCGGATCGCTGGCGAGCCGCTGGGCGAGCCGAGACCAAGACCTGGCCCAACGACTGGGGGGACTACTTGACCATCTTCTGCGGAGGCCTTCGACAATTGGTCCGTTGGTCCGTTGGTCCGTTGGTCCGTTGAGGTCGGCTGCAACAAAAACCAAGGGAGAATCGCGTCCGAAAGAAAAAGAAGAAAAAGAAGAAGCAGACAACGAAACTGGGACAAGCCGGTACCCCCAGAACTTGCGCCTCGGCGAGTTCTCGAAAGGTCCGGGGGTTTTTCTGGCCCAAACCTGGGGCTTTCACCGCGTTAAAGGATGGCCATGTGGAGCAGAGAGGTCATTTCCAGTCTTGGACCGGAGAGGAAGGAACGAGACTACTTGGCATGCGAATGGAGACAACTTATATCGTTATAATCTATGTATATTGGTATTTGTTGTTTTCTATGACTCAGTCATGTCTAGTAATGGTATGGTTATGTCTCATGCTGGCCTCTTGTCAGCAATGTATTGCTTGCTGCTTATTGTGTATACCGCTGTTGTCGCATGTATATACATATACTTGTTTCTTGGCATCTGGTTTACTTCTTGCTGCTTCCTTTCTGACTTGAACTGTTTATATTGTGTCAATAGATTCAGGCATGAGATCGAAGCATAGTTGATATTAGGTAGCAAATGAGCAGCGCCAGAAAGCCTGACAATACAAAGTAGTAAAGGGGGGTGTCCTATGGAACCCTCGCGAAAGCCAAAACGCAGGCCGCGAAAGCTTGCGAAAGCTTATCGCGAAAGTGTCTAAAGAAGGTCCCGCCGCGAAAGCCGCAGTCCGAAGGGTGTGACAGTCCGCGAAAGCGCCACGGAAGCAATTCTAAAGAAAACGAAGCCCGCGAAAGCAAAAACATGGGGTCGCGAAAGGGTTCGCGAAAGCAAGTTCATAGTACCATATAGTACCGCTATTTACACGAGAGTATTCGGCACGGCTCAAATGGACACGTTGCTCCAATTGGAGTTCTTCTCACATATTAGATATATATATATATATATATGTATACATATTCATGACTGGTCCATGTGTTTATCTTTGACATGCTTCCATGAGACTGAGTCTCAAGTCCGAATTTCGATATGGAAGAACAATAGGAAGATAAAGAACCCAAGAAGAGTATACCTTTTCAGGCCCCGTTTCAAGTGCTCCAATTCGTTGGGCCTGTTCCCTGGGATGGAGCAGGGACTTGATGGGGCAAAGAGCTGGCTATGTCCCATGTTGGAGCCAGAGCTGGGAGTTGTTGGGATCTGCAGAGGAATGGGGGCAGCAGCTGGATTTGGCGATCGCCTTAACTTAAGGAAGTTGGGGGGGTTGTCAGGCTTGCTCCCATGCTCCCCGTGAAATCTTTCGGAGCGATACTGCTTTGGAGACAAACCCGAGTCACCTGTCATGTCAATGTTGCGCAAGCGGCACGCCAGTCGTCGTGTGGGATGCTCAGACTGGTCGGAGAGTGTTCGAAGCTGCCGTGTCTGGGTTTTTTGAAGGCGGGCGATGTCATTCGGAGACAAATCCATGTGTCGACATACTGCCAAAGTCTGTTAACTGGAGTGTTTGGACCGAACTGAACACTTTCTGTTGCCAGGTGCCTTCATCACTTTAAGTCTAGGGGAAAAAAAGTGAGTCACTTTTTGTGGCCAGCCAGCTCAGGTCAGATACCCTCGCTTGCCGAGGTGTGGAACGACCTTGGCCTTCATTATTTGGGACAACCTCACCCGCGAGAAGCGTTGAGGAGCCGCCCACACTGATCCTGGCACTCCTCCAAGATGATTTGAACATATGTGTTGGCAGACTAAATAACAAGTTGTGTAATGCGGGCAAAGATGTGTTTGCATGGCATCCATCAACACATTATACATACCTTTCTAAACCATTCAACATAGTATATCAAACACCATGTTTACATATAAACAACAAACTAATAACCAAACACGGTAGCCCCTACCTATAGGGGGAACTGCGATCCACTGCGCAGACAAAACCAGCAGAATGTGTCCATCCTCAAGGCCAGTGAGCGAAGCTCCAGTGGCAATTGGCAGAACTCCGGCCGGCCGTGTCGGACAGCCGCGAGAAAAGGCCTGGTGTCTCCGTTGCCGGACCGCGGAAGGGGCTTGGAGATTTTCCTTTGGCAGTTCCTCCAAACGAATTTTATGGGTTTGAGAATTTCGGAGAGGAGTGCCCTAAATAGATGGTGGACATGTTAGGGTAGACTGAATATGCACAACAACCTGAACATGTCGTACCCAAGTTTCTTGCAGTGCTCTGACTTGTGTGCTGGGGATGTATCGAGTCTTGTGTCTCATTGTCCATGTCTTTCAGGTTATCCATGGAACTGATGTACTCTAGAACATCAACATGGAATGTTTCTGAAAGACGATTCTTGTCTAAAGAGACCTTCTGGCGGGTTCCATTTGTGATGCTCACCTCAGATTCATGCAGGTCAAGGGTTTGTAGGGGGTTGTCGCCCCCCCCCCTTTCTCCGGGAATGGGAGGTTCTATGTCTAGATGTAGCTTCGCCATTCTCTTCAGGAATCCAAGCCCTTGGCAAAATGGATGGTTTGAAAAGAGAACGAAGGGTGAGAATGGGGAATCAACCCTTCGACTACAAACTCAGTGTTTGAAAGTCAACTGGGTCGTGAAATCGCTGACTTGGCAGAGTTAGGCTCTTCAAAGTGCCAAAGAGACTCCTTTTTTTGAGGGTACCCTTGGGTTGTTTTGAGTGGAAGCCAAACGGAGCACTCCCTCTACCGTTGGGGGCGGGTGCCCCATTTTACCACACACCCAGACTCCTAGCACAGTTGCTCGCCCCATTTTCGTTTGCGGAGGTTGTGAGCAACCCTCCGCCTTTGGATAGTTTTACTAAACTAAAAGGAAGCACCTAACAACTTGGTGATATGATGTATTGTAGCGGGCCATATCTGCACACACACACACACACATTGTTGTTCCATGTTCTCGTTTGGCCTGACATGTTTCAGGGATCCATTTCCCGTCGTGGCGCTTTTAACCATCACCTTCTGGGCCGCTTCCTGTGATGAGTTTCCTTTGGTTGATGTTTTATGGTCGGAAATGCAGGGAACCCAGGTTTAACGTCGATTCTAATCTTTGGTACAAGCCGGATTTGAGTATCTGCTGTTTGAACAAGCTCGGTTTGACGTTTCGGGCGACGTTTTCGACCTCAGAACCGGGGATTGAGAGATCTGAGGACCGGATTTAGCTCTGCGGAGCCCGGGGAGAGTGAAGCTTGGTGGTCGGAGGCCGGGAAGGAGTCTGCGTCGAATCGACGCGTACCACCCTTGAATGGGGGGGATAATATGTTCTGTGGGCCGTGAAAGGACATCAACAGGAAGCTTTTTTTCTCTCTCTCTTTTTTTTTGGGGGGGGAGGGGTGCGGTGCTGAAAAAGACAAACCCATACAAAGGAGACTTGATTCGAACGTGCCAAGCAGATGAATACCCAGAAAAGGACCAGACAGGGGGAAGAACAGGCGGAATCTGGTTGAACAGAGGCGCATCCACATTTCGCTTAGACCAACATACCTATTCAGAACCATGGCAACCATTGCAGCCTAGTGACCACTGTCTAAAGTGGATCATTAAGCGACATTGGGTCAGAACCAAACTAGCTATGTTGCTGCTCCCAAAAATTGGGGGGGGGGGGGGCCTGGAAAGTGACTTTCTTTGAGGATTATTTTCCCAGTCGCACTGTTTTCGACAGGATTCCTGTGTTGGTGTTTCGCGCTTTACCCTCCTATAGTGCTACAGCACCTGTCCTGGCAGACCATTACAAGTTGTGTCTGTTTTCTTTCTTTTTCGGGGGGCCCTATGTCTTTGGTTTTTCCTTTTGGTGTCCGTTTAAAGCAGGCCAACAAGGAGTACCCTCAAAAGACAGTGGGGCCGAGCCTTTGGGTGTGGTGCAGTCCCAGGCGTTCCCCTTGCGGTCCTTCAAACTTGGGGTGCGAGCCAGCGCTGGGGGGCCCAGTGCGCCTGATGCGGGGCCCTGGATGGTCTGGATTGGCTTGGATTTGACCCCCTCATTCTTGAGGGTAAAAGGGAAAAAGTCGCCCGGAACACCAATCCAGGCATTTGGAAGGGTCACTAAACCCAGGGTTTGAGATCCCATAGATTTAATGGGAATTTGCGAACATGTGATAGGATTGGTTCCGAACTTCGTAAAAAAAAGCAAGGAAGCAACCCTGCGAGGGGGTCCTTTTTTTGTTGTTGTTCCTGTTGAACCTCATGCTGTCGTGGTTCATCTACCAATCAACAAGTTCATCGCCAGAGGGCCATGTACAGCAGCACGATGCCACCATCCACACCTCGTTCCCCAAGGTCAACAGTTGGGCAAATGACGCGAGTGGTGAAGGCAGATGTCAGCATTCCCCCCCCCCCCAAAGCAACTTCAGGGTGTGCCCCTGGACCTACTCCGCTACAAGCACACTCCAGTGTATATCGGTATCCTGGAACCGCAAATGGGTGTGGCTCAAGATTTCAGAGCCAGAGGACCGCAGGTTTTTAGTTTACTCGTCCATTTGCCAGGGTTCCATTTTGAGTTCTGTTTTTGAGCCACACTTAAATGGCAGCAGAGTTGCGCATGTACTACCCCCCCCCACCCCAGACCTGAAAACACTTGATTTTCACTATATACATCAGTGAATCGTAATCAACACCTGGGTAGTTGAAACATTAGTAGGGTTCGGTGAGAGCCCTTTCGGTTCTTTTACCAGTGGCAAGACTCCTCCAATATCAGCTTTGATTGTCACTTGAGAAAACCAACATGAAAACCGTTGCCCTGTACTATGTACTTGGCTACGTCTCTGCAGCTGTTGAATTTGAATGTCAACTGGACCCACAAGGACCGGCTATCACCATTCCCAGCAGAAGCGGGCGGCGTCGGCCAGTGAGCACCTCCATTCCTTCGAATAGGTTTGCTCTCACCTCTGACCCCTGGCTTCCTTTTGAAGTCCATCTTGCTTTGGGTGGGGTGGCTAGGTCCGCGAGTGGTGCCCTTCCACCCTTTTTGGGGGAGGGTTCCCCTACTAAAATAGACTACAGAAAAAAGGGCATCCTTGTTCTATCCTCTCTACTGGAGGACCTAGGTGGTGTTTCAACATCCATCGGGCTCCAAGTTCAGCACCAACTGACCAAGGTGGAGAGATCGGCGTGTGCCGAGTCAGCGCTGGCTCGCTTGATTTGAGGGAAGTTTTCAGTGGCGCATTCGCCGCTGAACGGAAGCGATGCTGTCCCTGCACTTATAGGTTTGCCCAAAGCAAAAAAGGTAAACCAACCAGTTTGGGACATGTGTTTGCGACAGTCACGACAGCTTGTCGGAGTCAGTTTGAAACCTGTTGGCCGTTTTTGATTATTGCTGGCCCAGTTCAGGATTGTTAACTCCAGGGCAGATGAGTCGTGCGGAAACTCCAAGTGGAGGGTGGATTAGGGGAGGGTGGGCAGAAATCCCCTGTGGTATCGACGTGCAGAGTTGGGTTGGAATCCTACCATAAGGCGGCGAACCACTTACATGATTCTCCAATGATCATAATTTACATTGGCTGTATGGCACCCCACAACCATTGATTGTAGTTAAACTAGTATTGCCAAATCCTCCTATTAAAATTGGCATTATCATAACGAAAGAAACATACCCCCCCCCAAAAAAAAAAAAACACATTTTGTGGCCCTCGTAAATTTTCTTCCCCTCGGGCACTCTGCCCTCGGAGCGCTCTGCCCTCTGCCAGATTCCGACTCCTTGGGCGCCTGGCGGCAAAGCTCGCGAACGCCGACACAGGCGCGCGCGGGTGCCAGAAAGAGCGACCTGACCAGAACCGAAGGTTGCTTACCCGAGCTCTGGAGCGGCGGGGTTGCCCAAACCTAAGGTTTGTTTGCCAAAACTCTGAATCCGAGGAGTCAGAATTCCTGTAAGCGAGCTGCGTTTTTGTTCCCAACTGTGATTGGTATTGGGTCCTGCTGTGTTCCTGTTGCAAAGGCCAATTGCCTAGTCTTGTGACAAGACGTTCGAAGCAGTCCTGTTTTGGAATTGTTTAAAGGGACACCAAAGGAAGGCCATCCATCCATGTTGTGCGTTTGGTGCCACCAGCGAAGTACACCCATATTTACCCGTCATGGCCATGTTCCCAACACACTCGGCCTGTCTCTCATAGCACGCGCACGGCAGAAAGCAGTGCGGCGCGCTAGGTCTGTTCCCTCACAGAGGGCGCACAACGTCGTTGGCTGTGCGCACAGGTCGCTTGGCGGTAAAGGCCAACAGAAACCGATCGAGGTCACTGAGGGCCGATTCGTCTATACAAACAGCCAAGCCCTGCAAAGGCATGTGAATCCGGAGACCAGAAGCATCAATGCCGTGCAAGAAAGCGCCTTGAAGCGAAAAAGCTTGGCACATTGCTTTCACCACACCTCTAATGAAACGAATTCGTTGGGCCAACGTCAGTTGGCCGGCCAGGGCCGGGGAAACCTCATCACTCCAGCACTCGCCGCTGTACCTTGCAGAAGGAAAAGGGTGTGGTAGCCGCGCCTGAAAAGTGAGCACTGCCAGCTCAAGCCATGAAATCTGCACAGATCGTACCGTAGGTTCACGCAGAAATTGCTGGAGCCAGGGCACGAAGGAGGCAATAAAGGCAGTGCCAAATTGCCGCGCATAACTCGACTGTTGCCATGTGTGCGCCCAGTTGGGGGTTAGGCCGGAGATCCAGTCACCACCATCAAGCATGGTACGCACGACAATTGGAGGATCATCAGGATTGAAAGCACCTGGAGCTTCGCATGCCACAAGGTGCCCAGCACCTGCGATATCAAGCTGAAAACTCCGAAAACGGTCAACGGCATCCCAAGCGTCCTGTTGATGTTGTCGAAAAAGGTCGCGGACGTGCCAAAAAACGAGTGGGCGTTGCCGGTGAGCACCACGCGCCGCCGCATCTGCCTGATCATTCCAATATGCCGCCCAATCTGCTGTATCTGCAAAAATGTCAGATATCTGTGCATGACCAGGTACATGTTGAACAAGCAGCTCGCCTGAGGCAAAAAAAGAAATAGAATGTCTAAGTTCGGCCCATAAATCTGCGTGTGTGTCTGGTAGCGGAGCATACTGGTCCTGGATCAAAGCCGCGAGACCGCATGCGGCGTATGAACTGTCTGACCAAATAGTGCCCCGGCTGGAAAAGCGAATCGGCCATGAGGATCGCCATGAGCTCCGCGCGGTCAATGGATTGGAACAAACCTCCCAGTGGAGCTGCTGCCAACAGAGACCCATGCGTGGCCGACACAACGGCCCATGAGGCGCATGCTATGTCGGGACGATTGGGTGCAAGGCAACTGCCGTCGGTAAAGAGGTCGAAATGCCGAAGACCGCCGGGAGCAAGGTAGCTGGATAAGGTATCAGCTTGTCGATACAGCTGATGTTGCAGATCACGAAGGTGTGGATTTGCTGAGGGTAGCAGGCGCTCCGTAAGTGAGCGTGGAAAGGCATCCCAATGCTGAACCGCCCAAGGGTGTCGTGTGCGGACCGCCTCAAAGGCCGGACAAACCAAAACAGCGATGCGCCAGTGTGTCATCGGCACCACAAAAAGGGCAAGCCGTGCCCTTAACCAGGTCAAACTTACCCTGCACATGCCCAGTGAGGAAAGTGCCCTCACGCAGGGCATTGACCTGAGCGTGCTGAAGTGCCGTGAGATGTGCCTCATGCCTACTGGGTGGCCATTGAAGGCCCACGAGCCCGCTGTAATCCTGGCGATGAGCGACCTCGCGCGCGAGTCTCTGCCGCCATGCGTCTTCAAGACGTGCCTGGGTAGAAGGCCAAGGGTCTGTCAAGAGGTCGACTGGCAGGCCGTGGTGGTCAAGTAGAACTGGTGGGGATTCAACCCGCCACCAGATGAGGTCGCATTGGTCAACAAGCTTGCTAAACGGCCCGGAGAGCATGGAGCCGTGAAAGTGCTCGTGGAAGGATTGCCACATGTCGAGGATCCTGCGGTCTTTGGTCAGGAAGCGGTGAGCGTCATGGAAGACCCTGATGAGCTGGAAGGCTCCTGGGTCCGTGGCGACATTGCCGCTGAGTAGACCCAGCCGAATGCCCGGATGGGCACCTGCCTTGCCGTGGCCAAGTGCCCGAACTGCCTTGGTGCGTAGTTGAGCGATCTCTGCCCAGGGTAGCAGCGAGATGGAGACAGCGTGCAACGCTTTGGGCCAGAAGGCTTGTCGTAGTATGAGCTGCTTGATCGCTGTGGGCGATGAAGACCGCCGCAGCTTGGGCCAAAGCGGCTCCAAGGAGTCCAGTCGTGCCCGGAACGAACCGAGAGCACGCGAGCGGCAAAAGGTGAGCGCACCTCCAAGATCGGCATGGGCAAGCTCGACACGGTGGCCGAGCTGTCGTAAGAAGGAACGGTCCTTGCTATTGGTAGCCCAGTAGTAGGTTTTCCCGGGATCCAGGCAAAGTGCCCAAAGATTGTAGAACTCCTCCATGACCAGTTGACCACGTAGTAGGGAGCCTACGTCCCGTGCAAGCAGCTCTAGGTTGTCCACATAGGACGACGGTATGGTGCTTGGGGCGAAGGCCGACTGATAGGCATCCCAGATCCAGTCGATGATGCACATGCACACCACCGAGAGGGAGCATCCCTCAGGAAACCCACTGTTCGAGGTGATCTCTGTGCTGAGATGGTCCTGCACCAGGAAGTGCCGCTGAACTTGCTCCAAAAAGGCCTGCCACGCGCCCAGAACCCGAGGTGGAAAGCCAAGAGCGGTGGCAGTTTGGAAGAAGACATCCCGCGGTATATGCTCGAAGGCTTTGCGGATGTCGGTGGTGCAGCCGCAAATGGGAAGTTGCTGTTGCAGAGCACACTCAAGGAGAGCCTGGGTGTAATACCAGAAATCACCAGTCTCCCGGCCAGGGATGAAGCCGAGGATGCCTCGTGGAAGCACCTGACTGAGCTGCTGTAGCAGACATCCTGAGCGAAGGGAGCCCCAGCAACGATAGATCATGGAGAAGACCACTATGGGTCGGTAGTGTGAAATGACGGTAGCCGCATCGTGCTTGGGGAGGGGATGGATGAACCCCTTGAGGAGTTGCTGGGGCCAGGAGGCCCCGGATTCAATGTGCGTAAGGAGCTGTAATATCTGGCGCTTGAAAGAGGCAGGCATCAGCCCGAGATCAAGATGGTCGAAGCCGTCTGGGCCGCGGGCCGATCTAGCTGCAAACTTCTTTGTGCCGAGTTCCCATGCTTCAACTGCCAGGTCGGGGCATGAAAAGGTATGCCGAGGCAGGTAAGCACGAGCGAATGCCAGGACCCGCTGCCAGGTGGCAGGATCCGGTGGATGATCCAAATTCCATCGGGCGGACCAGTACTGCTGCAGGTGGATCGCAAGCTCGGAAGGGTCAGAGACGACCCGCTCATAACGGAGTTGTTGACCGGGACAGAGCAGGAGGTCCGAGTCAACCTGGTAGGTGAAAGGGGACAGCCGTGTGACTCGTGCTGGAGAGTCCTCAAGAAGCCATCGGCCTGAGTTGTCCTCCTGCAGATCGTGGTCCAGAGCGACATGATGGGTGCGAGGATCAATGTCGGTGATAGTGGCTTCGTCTGCGAGCAGAAGCGTGGTTAGCGGCTGTCGCTCTGCTTTGGTCACATCCTGGAAAGCCTCGCGGATGTGCTCCTGACGCCTGGCCTTGAGAAGCGAGCAACGCTGACGTATGCTCCAGGACTCGAAGGAGCGGTAATTGGCCTCGAAGTCCCACCGCAGAATTTGCAGCTGTCCGATGTGAGGCAGAAGCCTAGGGAAGTCTGTGCCGGCACCCAATGGTCTGAACCGGCCGGGTTCGCCACCAGAACGTGAAACCTCCGTCGAAGCCCTTAGCCTCCTTGATGGCCTGCCAGGTGAGGAGCCTGTATTCGATGGCTGTTGGAGTTGTACTGTTGCGCTGTAGGTTGTGGTATAGTGACTGAAAGCGCCTAAGCTGGGTAAACCAACGGTGATGAGTCCGACCTAAGAAGTCGGAAGCAGGAAGAGCTTCACCCGATCGGCTAGGCCGTAGCCGGGGTGGTTGGGCCGGTCGTAGTTGCGGGGCAGAAGCCTGCCCGCGGCCTCTGTAGGAGGGCGGAAGTCGTCCCGCAAAGTTGTGCTGTAGATGTGGTCCCAGACTAGCTTCGTAGTCCCGGCCGAATTGAGCATAGAAAGAGGTGGTTGTGCCGCGCCAAGAGGCAAGGTCGTGAGGTTGGTAGTCCGTATGCTGCCATGAAGTAGAATCCAGGCTAGACCATGGAATTTTGGCCGGCAGAGGCCAGTGTAGTTGGGCAGGCAGGTGGGTTGGAATATCAAACCATCCAGTGACAGTGGAGTGGTCAGCGAAGCTGTCATGTACCTCGGCACGTTGAAAGTACTGGCGGAGTTCGGGCGAGATGTAGATTCGGTCTGGTCGTGTAGCAGTTAGTGGTGGCCTCTCCCGTCCGCATTTTGCCATCCGGTCATAGGGTCCCCCCCACACTTTTTGGCACATTCTGAATACGCCCACTAAAACAACCTATTTTCAACATTCAAATTCAATCACCCAACCAATCCAACACCAAAAAACACATATTCATATACCCCTCTTCATTTCTTACCCCATCTCAACATCACTCTTACACTCATTCAATAACAACAATCATAACTACATACCACCTCAACAAATCCCACCAAAAAAAACCAAGCTACATACCAACATTTTTCCATTCCCAAGATCGCAACCCCAAGATCTCAATAATTTCTCCCTTGATCCAACCTGAGACCCTTTCCCATTTCCAACAAATACGAACAGTCTAAAAAAGAACCCTATGTTCGTCCCGAAAAATGGTTAACCAATGGAAAAGGGAGAATTAAAACCGTTAACCCAAATCTTGAAAACAATCCCAGTAAAATATGGATGGCAAAATGCGGATGGGAAAGGCCTATGTAGGAAAGCACCCCCACGGCTTATGCGGGAAAATTAAACTAAAATTACAACATATAAGATCTTATATGTTGTAACTATAGTATAATCAAGAACTGAAACATTCATCTCAATAATAGCTAGCCGTGCTTTCATTATCACTAAATTCTTCATCCTCGTCATAGAAGTCTTCCGTGCTTAATATATGATAAAATCGGATATGCCATTCTGCCTCTGTTCTGAATGGCATCATTTCCAACAGTGCTCTCATTGCGTCGTAACAACCAATTCTCAAGTGTTCTCTTTTGTCATCAATACTATCAATGAACCAGAGCTGTTTAAATTTATTTTCAATATCATATATGTAGGAATAATTATAGAACGCTTTCAATTCTAAATATATTTCATAATCAGATTTGGTATCATCCAATGCTTCCGTTAAAGTCATTGCCCAGAATGGGTTTCTTTTTGCTCTTTCCCAAGTTGGAAAATGGTTTTTAAGAATATCATTATACCTGTAAGGACATATATCATAACAGTGATATGACATAATATTCAATCTAATTTCCAATGGTAGATTATTAATGTCGCGCATACTTTACTTAATATATTAAGGTAATATTTCTTTAAGCACTTTTTCAGGGAAACTTTTAAATCAAGCGAATTATAATTACAACATATAAGATCTTACATGTCATAATTATACTATTAGTCTAAATCTAGTCTCTCAAAAAATTCGTCTTCAATTCTTTTTATTATTTTATCAGTCGTTATCAATTATATATATTATTTCCTATTTCCTTTTTAAACAAGCCCATTGTTCTAATTGCACTTATTAACGTATAACTAAGTTTATCTACATCATACTCACAACTTAAAAAATCAAACTCATTATCATTCAATGCTTCTTTCATTAAACACCTAATTTTCAAAGACATACCATATAATCTTTTTACCAGATTATAATACTCAAAAATAAAAGCATTATCATGTCCTTCCTCATCGCCCTTATATAATAAATTTCCAAACTCTTCTTCAGTCAAGAACTTGTTCATTTTAATAAACACAAATATTTCTAAATCTTCATCAAGATTTTTAACATTTCTAGTATTAATATATTTGCTCTTCATATCATCATTATAATTTTATTGCAATTATCACATATCATACATTGACAAATGTTATCACAAACACCATTCAAAAAACCTTGCACCCCTGCAAGAAACACCTTGCACCCCTGCAAGAAAAACCTTGCACGCCTGCAAGAAAAATCTTGCCCCCCCCCCCCTCCAAGAAAAGGACAACCTTGCACTAATTCAATGGTTCAAGGACCTTTCAAACTTTGAGAATCTCTGACCTCAAGTAGGGGCGGTTCATCCCTTCAACAGAATAATAATCTTGACCAAGTTTTTTTTCAACCCTTGAAACCTTGTATTTGACACTGCTCCAGTTGCTCGTTCTTTCTTTCTAGGAAATCCCTTTTTTGCGGTATATTTTGACCTCGTCGCCAACCCGAACAGGGGGATATTTACGGGTTTTGATTCTGTTCATCTCAAGCTTCATCTTGACCTCAAGATGGTTTCCCTTTTTGTGGGCATCGTTTGGAGTCATATCGTGGGCAGAATGAACCATTTTACTGTTGTATGTCAGCATGATCTCAAGAATGTAATCAACCCATTGTATATTAACCTTTCCCTTTTTCTCGTCTGCGTCAACCCTCTTGAAAAGCATGTCCTTGAACGTGCGAATGAAACGCTCGGCGAAATGGGGGTGCCCTCGTGTTTTATAGTTTTGGATCCCTTCGTCCTTGAAAAAATCAACAAGATCTTGGGTATTGAGACTCCCCTCGTCATCCGAATAAATCAATTTGGGTTTCCCTCCCATTTTGTTTAATGCCTCCATGATCCCAGCCGTGATGTCGGCAGGTTGCTTGGATGCAATAGGCACCACCACGGCTTTGCGGGAAAATACATCAATAAGCAATAAGCCTATCCTATATTTTTGATTATCTAAATCATTTTTTGATATAAAAAACAGATCCAATTGATATTCAAAGTTGATATCAGGGGCAATAAACGAATTGTATCCAGACAGTTGTTTTTTCCGTTCCACGTTCTCTTGAAACCACTCCTTGACATCTTGCATTGTTATGGATGCATCTTTCTTTTTTGCATCTTTGTAAGTGGTGGCGATGCTACCAAACCCAGCCTGATCGTAGTAGACCTCACTGATTATCTTGTCTTTTTCACTCATATGTATAATACTATAAAATAAATATCAATATGTTATTTTATCACTGAAGCATCTATTACAAGAAGCACAGAAGGCAATGACATTATCCTTTGTATGGGGAAGATCATTGCACAACCTTTGACATGTCAAATTAGAGTTTATATTGCCAGAATCCATTGACAACACGAAGCCACAGCCACAATTTGCACACTTTCCGTTGACATTGTCCTTCAACCATTCGGCATCTACATAATTTTCTTTTGGAATACAAAAGCCATTTTTACGATCCTGTTCCTTGTATGCTAACACCTTTCTATCAAAATAATTCATAATGCATTTTGCGTTAAACTCTTCATTTAAATCACTACTGTATTTGTAAAATTTTACTCTGTTTAAATCCCTTGCCCGAGTGATTCCCGTCCAAAGCCACTCGCGAGTTATCAGATGATGGTTCCAATCAAAAATGGTGACATCATCATCTATAGAACAACCTTGAACAGAATGACAAGTATAACAGAAGGCAAAGATAAAATGGCTTCTCAAGATACCAATATGTAATGTAATCTCTTCTCGTGTTTTGATATTAGCAATGGTAATCCAAGGATCGGAAATATTAATTATCTCGTACCTAAAATTCACATTTAACTTATAGGTTTTTGTCTTCCTATACTCTCTGCATATCATGATCTCGCCGACTTCAAACTCATTTTGTTTGCCCTGTCGTTTTCTGATCTGCCTTGAAACCTCTCTACAAGTGTTATTTAAATATGCGACATTGCTTTCTGTTCCTGTGATGTCATCAGTATATTTAAAATACTTATTGATGACATCATGTAGAGACAACTCATGCTCAAAGATGTCGGCATAAATACTTTTAAGTTTATCCTTGTCCTCCTGAGTCTTCAATCGCTTGCACTCTTCCAAAAACAAATGATGAGGAAAAATGCTGTCAATACATTCATTCATATAAATCTCGTGTTTCTTAGTGTTAGTCAGTGCTTTTATGGGGCTCAATTGCTTGGCGTCACCAGTAGCTAATATGATTTTATTAGCCCTATGTTGCTCAACAAAGCCCTTGATTTTTGCCAATACAAAGGTATTATTAAAACAAATCTCATCAAACACAATGACATCAAACATCGAATGATCGTATTTATCTAGCTTCTCGTCATTGACTGCTATACTGAAGAATTTATTTACAGTGACGCTTTCCACTTCGCACTCCAAACCCAGATTATTGGTAGGAACCACGAACAACACTTTATAACCCTTGAGTCTCTCCATGTTCTTGCAGATGGTGGACTTCCCCGCTCCTGCGAATTTAGCCTTAATCATCAAGCACCTATATTTCTCAACAAGTTCAACCAATTCATTTTCATCATACTCATTAATGATGTTAACTCTCTTACTTTTGACAATCGGGATATCAACATATTCACACTTCTTCTGTTCATACAACTGCTTTCCTGTATGATGGATCTCATCGTGAGTCTTGGCTAATTTCCACCCACCGATCCCATCGTGAAAATCTAGCAACTGCTGAGTCTTTCTCAAACCAAACTTATTAAAACCCGAACAGTCCACGACAAAAGCGTCGCATTTGACACTCAATACCTTAACATTGTTCTCTGTCAATTTTTGATATGCGCATTGCATTTTAAAATTATGATACTGCAATAGCATTTCTTTAATAAAACGAAACCCATTGGACAACTCGCACCTATCAACCACATTCAGAATATAATATAAATTGTCGTTTTGTTCAGATACTTCTCTATCACGGCACCACATGCCATTATCATCATATTCCTCAACCCACTTGGCAGTATTCCTGCTCATCATGTTTAACTTCCCCCCTGCATCTGCTTGAAGGCCGATCGCCTCATTGAGATCATTAAAAACGAATGATCTCTGACTACTGTTCTTACTTTTTTCCAACAAGCCAAAAATCGAGTTGGCTATTATTTTTTTAATTGCCTTGTCTTCTTCAATATTTTCGCTTATTCGCTTTCCCCAGAGTTCCTCAACCAAC